GGTCCACCCACTATAACCTATCAAGGAATGGAATCCCCAACACCGGTGAAGGTATGTTGTGGTATCTGGCACCAAGCTGTCAGCAGCAGATCTTTTAAGTCCTGGAAGTTGCAAGGTGAGACCTCCATGGATAAGACTTGTTTTTCCAGCACATCCTACAGATGAGAGAATTTGGAAGCCAAGTCAATACCTCAAACTTGTTGTTGTGTTCCTCAAACCATTCTTAAACCATTTTTGCAGTGTGCACCCGACCATCCACATGATGTAAAAGAAAACAGGATTCATCAGACCAGGCCACCTTCTTCTGTTGCTCTGTGGTCCAATTCTGATGCTTATGTACCCATTGTAAACTCCTTTGGCTATGGACACAAATGAGCATGGGCACCCTGACTGGTCTGCAGCAACGTAGCCCCATACACAACAAACTACGATGTCCATTTTTTTTTCTGCTTTCAACACATCAGCTTCAGTGACATGTTTACTTGTAGCCTACCAACTTTCAGGTGCCATTGTAATGAGTTATTCACTTAACCTGTCAGTGGTCATAAAGTTATGGCTGAGTCTGTACATTCCTAATGCTTGTATATTCGGTTTATGTGAATAATTGTAAGAAAAAAGTATTGGTATAATGTAACAAAAATCAAAGTGTGAATTAAATATTTACATAGGCCACTATACGTACTGGAAGCAGCTTGTATTTCTCTGTGTACAGTAGTTCAGATGTAACTTACCATATTATTCCACCTGAAGCTGCAGCGCACCCCAGGTCAGCCATGCTATGTGTGAACAGCTGGTGTCATGAATCTGTGAGATGGATAGTCTGGCGTCTCCATCTCCTGCAAGTGGATAGGGGGTCAGTCTGACGTGTGCAGCTTGTGCGGACTTAGCATAGCATTAGTATGTAGCTAACTCCAATTACTTTGTTAGATACAATTTACACTTTAAATAAGCTTCTTTGGCTATGATATCATCAGGTCTGCCTTGTTGAAAGAAGCCTCCACTAAAATAATTAAAGGCCATGGGATAGACACATAACTGCACGTCGAAATTGGACATGAGGATCACACAACTGTAGCTTTAACAACAGCTGTGAAAGACAGAAGAGGTGATGAGTCTGATCCTTGTCAGTGAACTGGCATTTTTTTCAACACAGGAAGCAATTCTGTGTGTTGAGTGGCAACATCTTTTACTTAATAGTGAGAAGGCCAAGCCAAACATAGGAAATTATCAACGGCACAAACAAAGATTAGTGCAAGTCGTAACCCATGGCAAGTAGGGGTAAAGTATCCAAGGGATTTCAACTAAAAGAAGAGGAATCAGCACAAGGAACTTAAGTTATGTCCCTTGTGCTGATTTTTCTGCTTTAACTTTTAGGTACACTTAAGCCCGATACAAACATACCAAAATTTGGCAATGTTACATGTGTACTCCTCTCTGTTTAACCTCTTCACGCCTAAGGGTAGAACAAATTTTAAAGCCTAAGTAAAATTTTACAACGTTGACATATGTTAGTAAAACCGTACATATCATCACAACTACTTTGTACATCCAAGTGAATCATACCTTGTTTTTTTTTTCAGGACAAACTGGGCTTTTATTTGGTGGTAAATGGTAATGGATATATCCTGATTTTTATTTTCAAAGGAAAACTGCCCCAAAATAGTAAAAAAAAATATTTTTTTTAATTTAGCTGTGTTTCCTGTTACTACCATAATCTACCACCAAAGAACAACCCCAAATCCAGCTCTTGACGATCACAGCGATATCACATATGTGTATATTATTTGCTCTTTGTACCTGTAGTGCAGCACAGAAACAATAGTGTGCATTATGTTTTTCGTTTTTTTACCTAAAACACACTGACAGTAACTGACACAATTTTAAAAAAAAAAAAAAACTTGACCTTTGACAATGACCTTCGATCCTGACCTTGACTCAAACACTAACCCTGGCACTGAACTAGATCAAACCTTGATCTAGGTATTTTTCTTTATTTTTCAATATTTCTTTCTTTTATTTATGTATTTATTTATATTTTTTTTTTTTACAAACAGTTGTTTTTTTTCCCTTCATGCAAGGAGACAGAGAGATACAATGTATCTCTCTCCTCCATTCAGAGAGAAAAAAAAAACAAGGGGGGCGGGCTTCACAGTGACTGATTACTGTGATAGCCAGTCAGAGCCTATCACAGCGGTCATTAGAATGGGACCTGGGGCTCTCAGTGACACCCCAGTCTTTGTGCGGGGAGTGCGCTGTGCGGCGCGCTCCCAGCACAAAGAAAGGTGCGCACATATGCGGCCCCATGGAAAAAAACCCAGTTCTGTGGGGCTGCATATTTGTGCAACGTCAGCGCCAAGGGGTTAACAGAAAGTGGTTGATAGACTGGTTTCTATCGCATTCAATTAGCACTTGCAGCCAATGGCTGCAGCGCTGATCTGTGTTTTTTCTGGCACCCCTGATGATGTCATTAAGAGGAAAGGCCTAGGGGCGTGGCAGAGGCGTGGCTTGATGGCACTGAGAGTAAGAGCAAGCAGACAATACATTGAAGGATCCAATCCATTACCATCTGCCCTGATGGTTGCAGCTGGGAACTTTATAAAGCTATATATGCTCATGTCTGCCTTATTACAGGTGAGTGGCTTTCTGAATTCTGCTTTTTTAAATAAAATAACAGTGAACACTATATGGGTTCTCATTGGTCTTTTAACATGTAAGTACATACTGAATCGTACAGAAACAGAGAGAATCCTCGCTGATTAAGAAGCAAAGGAGTCCATCTGGTTTTGGAGCGCATACTGACCTTTGTTGTGAGAGTCAATACAGAGATGTATGAGTGTTCCCTTAATGCATTCACTGTGGTAGAGGAATTTTAAAATGTGTGAGAAAAATGAACAATAAGCACACGTTTTTTTTTCTCTAAATTTGAACATAATAGGGCAGGGCTTGACAAATCCTGGCGCCTGGGTTCTCACACTGCCTACCACTGGCTTCAATGCAAAATCGCATCCCATTGACTTCAATACAAAAATGCCTCCTATTAACTTCAATGCAAAATCACGTCCCAATGACTTCAATGCAAAAACGCCTCCCATTGAATTCAATGCAAAATTGGCTCCCATTGACTTTAAAGTGTTACTAAACCCAGGACCCTGCATTCATTATATCTGGTCTCCTACAGTACACAGAATATGGAAATACAAGAATTTTTGTAAATATAAACTGCTAAATACTTTTTCTCATCAGCAGTTAGAGCAGTCTTGTGACTTCAGCCGAGCACTGGTTAAATCTTTATAGAAGGAGTTTTCTTTCTGCTCTAGGAGGATGCAAAACCCCTGACCTCTGTCCTGGACAGTGTTGGCCCTATGCTGATCACATGCATTCTCCCAAGAAAAATAAAAACCTTTCTAGCAATACACACCAAACTGAGCATGTGCAGAGTGTCTCCACATGATATGTCTTATCAGGAGATAGGAGGGGAGCACTGGAAGAAGGGGAGGATCAGAGAAGTCAGGATAAAACTGTGCTTTTACACAATGCAGAGGATTAACCCCTTAGGTTCCACAATGAGTATAACAAGCACGCTTTACTGCATATACAGACTGATTTTACTGATGTGGGTTTTGTAGCAAGCGTACACCCAGAGATGGATGCGGTTCAACCATTTTGGCTTCAACCTCCATCTTGGCAAAGGATCCTCCATCTTGTACAAACATATCCCCCTCATTCTCATTCTTCCTCTCCGTTCAGCCACAGGGACATATGGCCTGTGTGTTGGCAGTGTCACAGAAGGCCAGAGCACGGCAGGGAGCCCCGAGCTATAAAACCCCCAAGGGAGCTGGGGCCTCACTGTCCAAAGAACCTGTGCAATCTAGCACATCATAAAAGATAACCCAAGCCTTCCCCTGAGTTCAAAGACATTCCAGAGGAGTAGAGACTAGATAACGTTTTTAAAATCCATTTTTCCCCTGTGTCTCATATCTTGGAATATGAGAGACTTACATAAAAACCAGGTATATCTTCAGATTGGCCACGAGAAGACAAACAGTTTGATAGGTCACACTCCCTGACTGAAATACCTAGGACAGCAGAGAATTATATCTCTTGAACCTTTCAAATATGTATTTCATATTTCATATGTAACCGTTCCTCAGAGGCGTCTGCATACTAATCTACCCACGGGTGGAATGTCACTTGTCACTAGAGCAAAATATGAGTTTTGAGAGATTTTGGCTCTAGTTTAGGGCTCCGCCCGGACCTTCCCTCCCTAAATGAAGCATTGGTCCTTGGCTTTAGAGGCACCCCCTGATCGGGGACTACAAAATGGGCTGTCAGGCCTAAGAGAGAAGAGTTAAGTTGAAGAATTCTCCTGTTTAACATCAGAACCAACTTGGGAGATGTGCCCTTTTGCTCTGAAACTTGATCTGCAAACGCAAGGATGATTGGCAAGTACTTTAACTCTTTAACCTCCTTTCTGTTACCTCTTTGCTGTGCTGTGGTTCTCTGTATATTTTATATATATATTGGTTACATCTTTTTTCCGTAAATATTTTTATTGTGCCCTTTTGATCTTTTAGTAATAAATCTTTCCTTCTGAAAGTGTTGAACTGTTTCTATAGCTCTTTATTGCAACTTACGAATTCCTGCCTCTAAAAGAGCGCTACTGTGTTTGTTTAACCCTCTGTATAACCGGTCTGCGGTGACAGTGTTATACAGACTATTATCTCAACCATCATAGTGTTATAGCTGATATCGCCGAGTTTCCTCTTTCTCTGTACAAAAAGAAGGTTGTGGCAGTGTGAAGGATTAATTGCGTAATTAACCTGACCCAGTAACAATCGCATTCGGGCTGCCGATACATCGATTGGTGGTCCATTAGCTGGAAAATCGTTGTGCAGGGTGCAGCTGGGTGTGGCATTGTTACGCACGTGACATCGCGGTTTTAGATTGGCTAGTCCTTCGGTCACGAGTTTGGTGAGAAGGGCAGGGGTCTGACGCCGCAGGTTTAGTAACACTTTAAGAAATTGTTGTGCAGCACTTTTATTTATTTGCATAAAGCATCAGGAGATAAGAGGTGGACATTTGAACAAGATCAGGGGTAGAGATGACAGGATTGAATTTTTACACAATGCAGAGGATTAACACTTTAGGTTCCACAGTGAGTATAACAAGCATGTTTTACTGCAAATACAGACTGATTTTATTGTTGTGGGTTTAGTAACCCTTTAATGCAAAAATGCCTCCCAATGACTTCAATACAAAAACGCCTCCTATTGACTTCAACGCAAAACCAATTTCCATTGACTTCAATGCAAAAACACCTCCCATTGATTTCAATGCAAAATTGGCTCCCCATTGACTTTAAAGTGTTACTAAACCCAGGACCTTGCAAAAACTCCTGTCAATAGCAATCCTATGTGAACACTTATCTCCACATTCCACTCTATCACTTGCGAGCGTGGAAAGCACCACTACAAACTCATACAGGACCCTTTTCATAATGGCAATCAAAACACAATGTTGATTGCATCTGTGTGAACCATTTCAATAGGAACACATAATATCTAGCCTGTCGTGCAAATCTGTGAGTTTGAAAATGTATCCAGATTCGCATATGTGTGAATCAAGGTTGTTCAATTCACACCTGGGCATATTGGGATAACTGCAGAATTGATATATTCACAAAACGCAGGTTTAGGTGCCATTTGTGTGTGATTGTCGTGCAGCAATTTGCATCGTCTGAAGTTGTTGCCTAAAAGTTACCTCCGGATGCTGACGATCCACGCTACACTAACAAACCCTGGCTTCTAACTTTTTTAGCTGATCCCTTGAGTCAAAGCAAATTGTCATGCCTGGAATAAGGAAAGATAAAACCCCTTATGATGATAATGAGCTCTGATAACCCTAAACCCTAAAGTGGGGAGAACAGGGGAATCATACTGAATACAGTGCCACTCTTACTTCTCCAAGATTCCCAAGTTAGTAATGCTGGGGGTCGAGTTTAGGAGGTAGAGATTAGAGGAGACGAGTTTAAGAGGTAAAGATTAGGGGGGTTGTGTCACGATCCCACGATCGCTGCCACCAATATGTCACGATCGCGGCGTCAGACCCCAGACCTTCTCACCCAAATTCGTGACCGAAGGACTAGCCGATCTAAAACCGTGATGTCACATGCGTAACAATGCCACACCCAGCCGCACCCTGCACAACGATTTTCCAGCTAATGGACCACAATCGATGTACCGGCAGCCTGGGCGATTGTTACTGGATGAGGTTAATTACACAATTAACCCTTCACACTGCCACCACCTCCTTTTTGTACAGAGAAAGAGGAAACTCGGCGTTATCAGCTATAACACTATAATGATTGAAATAATCGACTGCATAACACGGTCATAACACAGGCCTGTTTTACAGAGGGTTAAACAAACAGTAGTGTTCTCTTTAGAGGCAGGGATTTGTAAATTGCAATACAGAGCTATAGAAACAGTTCAACACTTTCAGAAACAAAGATTTATTACTAAAAGGTCAAACGGGTGCAATAAAAATATTTACAGAAAAAAGATGTAACTAAGATATATATATACATATACAAAGAACCACAGCACAGCAAAGAGATATCAGAGAGAAGTGAAAGGGTTAAAGTACTTGCCAAAGTCCTGGGTCCAAGTTTCAGAGCCAAAGGGCACGGGTCTCCCCAGGTGGTATTGATGTTAAAATGGGAGACGTCTTCAACTTCCCTTTCTTAGGCTTGACAGCCTATTTTGTAGTCCCCAGCAGGGGGTGGCTTTGCAGTCAAGGACCAATCTCCGCTTAGGGCGTGGAGAGATGGGTGGATGCCTCAACTAGAGCAAAAATCTCCCATAACTCATATTGGCCTATAACTTTTCATCTACACAAGTGACACTCCACTCGGGGGTAGATTATTATGCAGACAAGTCTGAGGATTGATTAGATATGAATTATGAAAGTGTACACTGAACGGTTCACGAGATCTATTTTTCTGCTTTCCTGTGTGTCCGAGACAAGGCGAGTGTCAGGGATCGTGGCTCCGCGGTCCTGGATCGCGGCGCCGTCCCCCGTGCATGCGCATTGGCGGCAGATCACGCCGGGACACAGGCACTAGGTCCCAACGAGCCGCGGCTGACAGGACGCCGCGCATGCGCAGTAGAAGCCGCGGGCGCGCCTCAGGCGTCCAATGACAGCCGGGGGCGCGTCCTAGCCGGCCAATGACAGTGTAGGGCGCACTATTTAAAGATGCCCTGCACTGTCACAGATTGCTGCAAGGTCTTTCTGTGATTCTGAGTTCCTGCACCCGTCTAGTGACCCTGATTGACCCTGACTACGCTGCCTGCCCCTGTGATTGACCCGGATTGCCCTGACTACGCTGCCTGCTCCTGTGATTGACCCGGATTGTCCTGACTATTCTGCCTGCTCCTGTGTTTGACCCGGATTGCCCTGACCATTCTACGGACTGACTTACCCTGCTGATCCTGCGTGTGACCCGACTACTCTTTGCCCACCGATTCTGTACCCCGCTTACCCTCACGGGTCCACGATCCGTTACTACCCTGCTGGGGCCGCCATTCCCTTCACATCTGGCTCTCCCGGTAACTGTCCCTGGAGGTCTCCTCAGCCACTGGTGGGCCTGCTCGGAGGTCGTGACCTGGCCCGGGACTGTTTCAAGTCCATCCCCACCATCAGGGGCCCTGGTGAAAGCACAGCCCGGGCTTAGACCCCACGCTCTGAGTAGGTCTGTCAGTTGGCAGCCTGAGGCACCACCTGGCGGATCATAACAGTACCTTGCGGCCATGACAGAGCCAGGAAGTGGACCGGCGTCCCTAGAGGATATTTGCCAGCACCTGGCAACTTTGACCCAGGCTTTCCAGAATTTCCACAGTCGCTGCGCCCGACTGGAGGACCGCATGGAGTCATTAGCTCCCCTGACTCCCCCTGCTCAGAGTCCTCCATCTGCAGAACCTCCCGCTAACCCGGTATCCGGAGCGGTTGCCCACACCCCTAGCTCCTGAACCCCGCGTTCCTCTGCCGGAACGATTCCGTGGTGACCGGAGCCGCTTCCGAGCCTTCCGGAACGCTTGCACCCTGTACTTCGACTTACAGCCCCGCACGTTCACCCACAGAGACCGTCAAGGTGGGGTTTTATAGTCTCCCTCCTTCAGGATGAGCCCCAGGATTGGGTTCACCGTCTGATGGAGAAGCACGACCCCCATCTTAACTCCGTGACCGAGTTCTTTCAGGCCATGGCCGTTTTGTATGACGACCCTCAGCGGGCTGCTTCCGCAGAGGCTACCCTATACTCTCTGCGGCAGGGCCGCCGGACAGCCGAAGGATACGCGTCCGATTTTAGGCGTTGCATGGGAGACACCAGATGGAACGATGCGGCCTTATGTCACCAGTTCCGCATCGGGCTGTCTGAGTCTCTCAAAGACGAGCTCGCACGAGTAGGCCTACCTGACTCCCTGGAAAAACTGATTGAGTTGGCCATTCAAATTGACCGTAGACTAAGGGAACGTCGGCTGGAAAGGAGCAGCCAGGGTCAAAGGGTGGCATGGATTCCATCAAGAGACACAGCTCCAGCCCCAGGGAACCATCCTCGAAGCACAGAAACAGGGGACAACTCGGAACCCATGCAACTGGGACTGGCCCGTTCCCACTTATCGGTCGAGGAACGTCAGAGGAGACGATCACAGAACCTATGTCTGTACTGCGGGGAAGCTGGTCACCAGGTGTGCTCCTGTCCTGCAAAAATGAGTAAGTCCACTCCCGTTTCTTTTACTTTACCTGCAGGAAGGGATGATCAGTCAAGTTACCTGGCCATTCCTGTGTCTTTACAGCTCCCCGGAGGAACATTGTCGGTGACCGCAATCGTTGACTCAGGAGCCTGTAGTTGTTTTATCGATCTGACTTTTGCCCACCGGCAAAAAATCCCTCTCCAGACCAAAGAAAGGGGGTTCAACATCTTCTTGGCAGATGGGTCCAGTATAAAATCAGGGGTGGTGGACCAGGAGACACCACCCATTTTCACCACAATGGCAGACCATCACCAGGAGTTCCTCCGTTTGGATGCCATCGCATCCCCCCTTTTTCCAGTCATTCTGGGGCTCCCTTGGCTGAGGGCCCATAACCCCAGATTGACTGGGAAAAGGGAACAATTCAATTTCGGTCACCTTATTGTTTGAGTCACTGCCACGTCACAGGATCTGTGGTTCCCCGGTTCCTCCTGTGCCTGGATGGAGACACCAATCTATCCCAGGTAATTCCTCCGGCCTACCATGACTTCTTAGACGTTTTCAGTAAGCGGGGTGCTGACATTCTTCCTCCGCACCGTTCCCTACGATTGCCCCATAGACCTCCTACCTGGATCTGAAATCTCATTCGGCCGTATCTTTCCCTTGCCTAAAACGGAATCGGGTGTGCTGAGGGAATATATTGACGAAAACCTTCGGAAGGGATTTATTCGTCCATCCACATCCCCAGCCGGGGCCGGGTTGTTCTTCGTAGAGAAGAAGGACAAATCGTTACGGCCCTGCATAGACTACCGTGATCTGAACAAAATAACGGTAAAGAATTGTTATCCCTTACCCCTAGTCCCCGAGCTCCTCCAGAGACTGAGATCGGCAACGATATTCACTAAATTAGACCTGCGGGGGTCTATAACCTTGTTCGTATCAGGGAGGGGGATGAGTGGAAGACGGCGTTCCGTACGAGATTTGGTCACTACGAATATTTGGTGATGCCGTTTGGGCTCTGTAATGCACCGGCGACCTTTCAGCACTTTATCAACGATGTTTTTCGTGATTTTCTCGATATTTTCGTGGTGGTTTATTTGGATGACATCCTAATTTTTTCCCCCTCACTGGAAGTTCATCGTGGTCACGTGTTACGGGTATTAGAACGGTTGCGTCAACACGGGCTATACGCTAAGGCAGAAAAGTGCTGTTTTGAACAGCGCGAAATCACGTTCTTGGGACTGGTTCTCTCTTCCGCGGGGGTCACAATGGATCCCCAGAAAGTCACGGCAATCTTAGATTGGCCAATACCCGCCGACAAAAAGGGGGGGTACAGCGTTTCATCGGCTTTTCTAACTTTTACAGAAAGTTTGTTAGGAACTTCTCCGGTCTGGTCTCCCGATCACCCAACTGACCAAACAAGGGGTCCGCTTTAAGT